GCGACCCCCGCCACCGCCACATTCTCCCATTAGCAGCATTTCTCTTTATTTTTCTGCAACTTGCATCACTGTTGCTTTTCTGAATTGCTTCATGATGAACAGTAACTCTGATGTTTGGCTGCTTGTAAAACTTTTCTTCAAGGAACTTGGTCTAAGAAGCATGTACATTTCCCACAACAACCTAAGCTGTCAAGAAGAAGGCCACCCTGCTATGATTGGTAATCCTGTAATCTGGTTTTTCTTATGGAATCTTGTAATTTCAATGAAATACTGTCAGCCCTTTTTTTTCCCCCTCACATATTCCATTGGGGTGGGATCCAGCTTTGTTATCAGACTAGAATGAATCATGCTTGTTCTGGAAACTAGCCAGAATATAATACTTTTTTTTTTTTGATAACTGGCTTTCAAATGCAGCCGTCTCCAGAGAGAGTTTGTCTTCTCTTTTAGAGGGAGATTGTGGATTTAGAAAGAGCCTTTTTAAAAATAAATGAAAACCTGCATCTGTAATGTATTTTCTACATGTGTCTTTGAAGCACGTTGTGGGTACATAGAGATGCAGTCTCCTATATTTTAGAACCAAATAACAGAAGACAAGTAATGATGGACGGATGACATTTAGAAGCTTGCCAAATGTGTAACTCGTGGGGAAATACTGAGGAACCTGCATGGATTTTTTTTAATCATTATACTCTCTAAATTTTGGAAAGAGGACTTGTGAAAGCCATCAATGGTCTTGTTCTCATCAGGATTCTCAATCTCAGATATTTTTGTATTTCACAAACCTGTGGATTACTGTTTTTAAAGTTGTCAGGTTTTCTGATTCGCTTCTTAACGGGAAAAATAACACTTATCTAATTAAAAGCAAGGATTCCCAATTTACTGGCTAATTTAAAACAGGGCAGGTACAACTAGGTGTTCAAAATGCCATTTTTTATGACTTGAAAAACAGAAAACTCTCTTTTCCCAGGCTTGTGTGAGTTGGCTCTTAAGCCTTTAATAAAGTTATTAAAGATGGTTATCTTTAATAGGCTTGTGCCTAGTCCCAGAAGGGGAAGGAGGGTGCGAGTTTGGCTTGTTGATCATAAACTATGTTCCTGCTCTTTATGTGCCTCTGCCGGAGAGTTGGTGGAGAGATGCTCCAGTGTGGGTGAGGCTGCAAACCCAGCTTCCCCGTGCAGCCAGAGAAGAATTACGAATGTATTTTACATTAAAGTGATAAGCCATTTTCCAGGCTGGGTGATAAACTGGAATCCATAAATATCACAGTGCTAATTTGAAGTTCCATAATTGTCCATGCCATGAGAATGTGTACATGTAAAAGGATTTTTGAAAGCAATTACCAGAAATGCCTTCCTCAAGAGTAACGTTGGTGAAGGTGTGTTTAGTCCTTGGGAGTGACATAAATTCATCCCACTGGATACAGCTGAAGGGTAGGGGCGGGGTGTCAAGAAGTTATTTGGTACAGGTGAAGGACCTGAAGGTTATAAGCCAGAAATATAACTGAATGCTAAAAACATGCAGGGCGATTTCTAAAAATAAGAAAAAAAAAATTTTTTTTTAAATCAAAAAAAAATTCAGATTTTCGAGGTATAACTGATCCTTTTCTAATCTCTTCATACTTCTTTCTACCCATTGCCTTAATAACCAGGTGCTTTTCTTAGATGACACCCCCCACCCCCCAGTTATTTACCTAGGGCCCCTGGCTGAAAGAAGTTCCTTTGTGTCAGTGAAGGAGATGTATAACATTGTGTCAAGGAGGAAGATGATACAATTCCCTGGCATTAATATGTTCACAGGGCAGGTAGCAGTGAATGCCAGTGGCCTCTTCTCAGCGCGCAGGGCTGTGCCTTCAAGGCAGGTGACAGACTGTGATGAGAGCAGGCTTTATGAAGCTGCAGAAATCTGGCAAACTCATTATCTAACACCACCATGTTTGCTTGCCTTTTTTTTTTTTTTTAATAAGATGGACTACTTCAGTGAAAATTGGTTACATGTAGCTCTGATAAGCGTGACCTCAGACATTGAGGTTTGGGTCCCAGCTCCTCACACTGGACCAAGGGCAGGCCCCTTGTGGACATGAGCTTGTACAGACCCTTGCCACACCCTGGCTTATAGCTGTAAGAGAATTTTAATTACTCATCAGGCTGCCAAATTCTACTAATTATTCCCGTCCGCATATTCCACTGGCTACTGAATGGTAAATGAGCCTACCTGCTTGTGTTTGCAACCCTGTCATCCTTGAATTTGCAAAGCCTTGAGGAGTTTCTCTTGCAAGAGGAGGAAAGAGGCTTTTCTCCATGGATGTGGCTCAGATTGGTAAAATCCAGCTTCAGAATTTTGGATCCTTCCCCTCCTTAGCATTGCTGATAGATTTCTAGAACAGGCTGCTTGGTATTTATTGATTTATTGGTCTTATTGTTTAAATACAGTATCACCTTGGCTTTCTTGGGCCCCACGAGCAGACACAAAGCCAGTTGAGGTAACCCCTCTGGAAATGGACTTGAGCTGCCACGGTTTGGTCCTCCTCCAGAGTTGTGTATTGCACATGTAATGTTGGTGACACACACATCTTTAGGCCACATGAGAAGTGAGAACGTAGCTGAACCCAGAGCTCTAGGACTTTAGAACTCCCCAACTCTACCTAGGAGCATGGTTGCCAGCAGGTTCACTCTAGGTGCCCCACTTTCTGATTCCTGTCTCCAGTGTGGCCCAGTGGGGAGTCTTTTAGATGGCTATCTTCTCTGCCATGTGTCCTGCCTTCTTGGCAGCATGGCACCTCTCCAAGAGCCCTCGTCTATTAGATCGTCCTTCTGGCCCACTGGCCCGCTTCTACCCAACCGGAGCGTCCCCGGGGGAATTCACAAGGGCAAGAACAGCTTTCGACCTTGGAGGGTGGACGTGGCTGCACTTGAGTGTGTTCACCCTCCTTCTCTCCCTCGCGATGTGGCAGCTGACTTTTGATCTGCTGCCGGATACGGTCCACGGCTTCCTTGGTACTGTCTCCCCACCCACGCTCCTCATCCACGCTAGCCTTCTAACCACTTTTTGTTCTTGGCTCCAACTCTTTCAATGACGAGGCAAGTGCTTTTTCTGTCCGCGTCCCTGCAGATTCAAGGCCCAGCACGGTCTCCCTTTAACAGCCTCACCTGGTCCCACACACAGTGTGAGAACCGAAGGTAAGCCCCCACATTGTGCCAGATGATGGTGGACAAATCAAAAAGGACTCTCCAGCAGCGACTCACAAATGCATGAAACGTTTCGATCTCCAGACTGCCAGAATTTCTCTTTTTCTAATTCCTCTTTGTAGTGATAACAGTTTTCTTTTTGTGATTCTTTTTTTTTCTCTTAAGAGAATAGCATAGTACCTTGAATCGATTGCAGTTATGATTGTTGTCACTATTTCTATTTGACAAGTTCAAATTCTTTCGAAATTATTGTATTCAGTTGTGCACTAGTGTCAATAAAATTGACATTTGTGAAGCAATTTCTGGCCTTTTTCTCCGGGTTTTCCTGGGTCTGGTGGTGTGAGAGGGGCGATTGGGTCTTTGTCTAACATCAGGACTTTGTTATAATGATGTTTATGAAAATGCAAGGCATTGAAATGGAGGGTTTTTTTTTTTTTTCTTTTTAATGCGAACTTCTGGAATCTGACTTTTCCTGACATTTTCTAATCTTGTTCTTAGTCAGTGGGCAGGATGTCTGCTTTCTGTTGTTCGTGGGCGTGGTGGCTTTTATCCCCGTATGTAGGGGACACAGCAGGCTGGGCGACCTGAGACTGGGTGGGGCCTGGAGGGGGTTTCTGCATGGTTCCTTCATACTGGGGTCACGTTCACGACCCGACTCCAGCAGCTCCATTCAAGGCGGACCTATCTTGTAATGTCCAAGCAAATCTGAATGCATCCAGAGAGACAGGATAGAGGTAAAAAAACTGGGGGAATTCCCAGAAAACGGCCCTTCACCTCTCTCTCCGAGCTCCTTGATACTGGACTGAGTAGCCGCAACCATGAAACTGGATGCTGGAAAATAGAGAAAGCATTTGTAGTTTTTCTTTATGATGGTAACCGACAGGGCTGCAGCCTACTTAAACTATGTTCATCCTAATCCTAGTTTCTGTGAGTCTGCATAAGCATTATAGATCTGTTAGGCTGAAACATTTGAGTTTAGAAGTAGATTTTGAAACATCCCCCTTAGTTTCAATAGGTTGAGGTATTGGTATTTGCAAAATTCTGTTGGCAAAGAGCTTTCATGTGCATGTCATCTCATCTGGTTGACTCATAAAGGGTAATTATACATTTTCCTATGATTTACTCTGGTATCATTTTCAGAGGAATAACTAATTGCCTGTCATTTTTTGACTCAAAAGGGGGAATTGTGATAATGTGATAACCTCCAGCTTTGCATTTTTAAATGATCACCTTTGCTATGATTGTGATACTAGTGTTTCTGTCCCAAACAGTGAGAGAGACATGGAGTGCCATCACCAGGTATAACCAGCTTGCTTCTGTTCTTCGTAGAATGGGGAGGTAGCTGCTTTCCCTTTCTTTAGCTGTGACCCATTGTTCCAAGACGTAGTCTGTCCTGGGTGTCCCAAGTCCTTTAGTCTTCTATTAGAATAGCGCTATTTTCTAGTCATTTTCCACATCTCCTTGTGATATAGACCCTGTGTCTTTCTTGAATAATTCTTAAGACATTAAGGAAGTAGTTAGGAAATGAAGACGCTATTTGTAGATACACAATGCTTTTAAAACTGTTGTAATTATGCTCTAAGCAGAATTCTCCAGCTTATTATTAATGACGTAACTGTGATTCCACTGAATGGTATCTTGAGGATGAAGGCTGCTGCAACTAAAAAGTCATGGAGGGCATTTTAAGCGTGCCATATAGTAATATAGTAGTCTAAGCTTCTAATGGTTGGAAAAGGTGAAAATTGTAAGTGGAGACTGGGTCCCAGAAGGAATTACTTTTTTTTTTTTCCTTTAATACTTCTCATCCCCAAACAGGCTCCCTGACTGGCAGCCCTCACCTTTCAGAGCTGTCCATCAACTCACAGGGAGGAACTGCGCCCACCAACGCCATCCTGTCGCCCAACCTGAGCCCTGACACCAAGCAGGCGTCCCCCTTGGTCAGCCCCCTGCTGAATGACCAGGCAGGCCCGCGGGCCGAAGATGAGGACGACGGCCGGAGGAAGGTATGAGGATGGGCAGGCGCTCACCGGCTGATTTTGGGGTTTTTTTTTTTTAATTCCAATAATTTGCTCAGTGGTAAAGAATCCACCTGCTAATGCAAGAGACACGAGTTTGATCCCGGGTTTGAGAAGATCCCTTGGAGAAGGAAATAGCAACCCACCCTAGTATATTTAGCCTGGGAAATCCCATGGACAGAGGAGCCCGGCAGACTATAGTCCATGGAGTTGCAGACTTGGACACGACTTCGTGACAGAGTAACAGCGATAAAATAGAATCATGCAGGGTCTGTGCCTTTGTGACTGGCTTATTTCCTTGAGCATAACATCGAAGTTGATGCATGTTGTAGCCTGCATCAGAATTTCCTTCTTTTTTAAGGCTGACTGATAGTCCACTGTCTGGAGGTACCACATTTTGTGTATCCATCCACCCATTGATGGACAGTTGTTTCCTCCACGTGGCTCTTTTGCCTAATGTTCTGGGCACACAGGTGCACAAGTATCTGGTCTCATCTCTGTTTCACATGTATTCCCCAGAGGTGGAATGGGGCAGACTCCTGTAGGAAGTAAGCAGGATGGTCAACAACAGGAGATTGGTTTCCTTTTACTGACTGGTTAAAGAGAAGCAAAACCAATGGTAGACCTATCTAGGGCAGTGCCACCTGCCCACCTAACAGAGGGACTCTGCCTCCTGTCACCCTGGCTCTTTAGATCAGCCACTTTCATGTTCCCAGGAGCAGTGTAACTTCCACTTCCTAAAAACCAGTACCACCAGCCCACAATGCCCAGGACAAAGGCTGCCCTGGTTTCTTTTTCATTCATTTCCTTGAAGACTGCATCACTCTGATACTATCCTAATTAATTAGATTTTCAGGCGCCCAGTTTTGAATGAACAGTCTTCAGTGGTAACTGACACACTCACTTGAGTTCTTTCACTGCCAGTAGGATTTAGTTGGAAGGAAACATTCCTAGACAATTTTCTCATCATAGAAACCCATTCTTTATTCTAGTTCCTCTCGCATAAAAAGGAGAATAAGTAAGAGTTTATTTAACCTCGCTACCAACCAACCAAAGATCATAAGTTAGCAATGCGTCACTTGAGTTAGGACTTTCTTATAACTAGGACATACTTAGAAATCGAGCCTCAAATTATTTTTTCTTTTTTTCTTTTTATGAATATTTGCAGAGATTCCCAACTGACAAAGCATACTTCATTGCTAAAGAAGTCTCCACCACTGAGAGAACGTATCTGAAGGATCTTGAAGTCATCACTTCGGTATGTGTAGCATTTCCCCTAAAGTGTTAAATTACATAATTTATCTTGACTAATACTCAGCTTTAGGAGACAAGCTGGATCTAATTAAATATCGGGTTCTCTGACTCCAATTAAAAGGATTTTAGTCCTGAGTTGTAGAAATTAGGCAGTAATGGTATGTTTAATTTGGAATATGCCCTAAAAAGGTTTTATAATTGTGATTTTTTTAAGTGCAGAGGAAGGAAGTTTCTGAAGTGGAGAAATTTAGTATTAAATGTTTCACTGTCTGCACTGCCCGCACCGAGGCAGAACTTTGTGTTTTGCATCATATTTTTGCTTGAGAGAGACCTCAGAGGTGAAAGGGAAACCTCGTTTTATCTCTGATAATAAATTGAGCGATGTCAGCAAAATCTGCCTCAAAGACTGCCTTTTATCATTTTAATCCATCTTGTTCAGTCTTAAATTCAAAGCGTGGTGGCAGGTGTCTTTATGACCCTGGATTCTGGAAAGGAGCTAGCCAACTGCAGGTCAGTTGGAATGGTCTGGTGTCTGCCTCCAGAGCAGGTGCTTAGCAGTCCTCATGGGGCCCAGCCCAGCCTCAGCTCGGTGAGATGAGTGGTGTGTGTGTGTGCAGGCAGAGGCATCACCTCTTTGGTTCAGCCACCTTCCTGCTCAGCGTTTCAACAAAGGAAGAACGATGGAAGTTTCTTCAGGACTGAACTGAGGGCGTGTGGGGGCATAAATCAGGGGTGACCCAGGGAGTTGGCCATAATGGAAGTTTTGATTTGAGTAGCTGCTTGCTTCAGAGATTTGTCCTGGCTTCAACAGTACTTGGTAACAAGTTTCAGGAAGCGGTAATGCAGAGATGGTTCTTCTTACTCCATCTAATGAAAGGAGGGAAAACAGAAAAGCCTCAAAGCCCTTGACACTCTTGAAATCCTATGGATGCGGCAGGAGAGCCCTTATGTCTCCAAGCGTGGTGGGCTGTACCTCCAAAGAGCTGCAGACCTCAGTTCTTCACCTCTACGCCTCTAAATGTGCCCTCTTTTTTATCCCCAGTGGTTTCAGAGCACAGTGAGCAAAGAGGACTCCATGCCCGAAACCTTGAAAAGTCTCATATTCCCGAATTTTGAACCTTTGCACAAATTTCATACAAATTTTCTCAAGGAAATTGAGCAACGACTCGCTCTGTGGTGAGTACAATTCTGGGTGAGCGTTCTGCCTCACCACCACCCCCCTCCTCTTTCTTTCTCTGCTTCTCATTTTATTTTTATGTTGTTCTTTATAAGCAGTAGCTGTGAGCAAAGATAAAGCAAGAAGCTGGCTTCAGACAAGCCAAGCCTACAGTGATTTCCAAGTAAATCTATACGTGTTAGATCTCATCCCAAATTTTTTTTTCCCCTTTGGCTTACAGTTCTTCAAAATGCATATTTTCTGACAATAATGAAATGAATCCCACAGAATATAGTAATGTCTTCTGGAAGGTTGATGACAATTATATAGAGTCAGAAGAGGAACTTTTAGGATGTTGGTAATATTTTACTGGTGCTTGCTTCATAGTCATTTAAGTATCCGTCTCATGCTGTTCTCAGTATTATATTTCACAGTGTTTATAAAGAGTGCTTTGAAAAACAGACCCCATAGGGGCTTCCCTGGCAGTCTTTTAGTTAAGACTCCACACTTCTACTGCAGGAGGCAAGAGTCTGATCCTAGTTGGGGAACTAAGATCCCACCTGCTGTGTGGTATGACCCCCCAAAAATAGAACCCCATACCCCACACATGCACACATTTTTACCTTGATCCCCACTACTAAGAATTTATCTTAAGGATGCATTCTAATATGTGAAATGACAAATGGCAATGATATCCATGACAGAATTAAAAGATTGGAACTGACCTAAATACTCAGGAGGAGCAGGCTGGATAAAAATATTAAATCTGTTTTATTAAATATCATATAAAATATTAATCTATGGATGCAAAACATCAGGAGAAATCATCTGTACTGTGGAATGCAAAGTCCCTTGGCCTAAAATGGAAACTTCTGCAGAAAATTCTTATGGGTTTTTTTTTTTTTTTAAAGACATGTACATTTACGTTCTTTACGCTACTGGGGCTGGGGTTGATTTTCGCCGAAGTCCCGACAATTGTCCCTCTGGCCCCCTCAGGGATGGCCTGGTCCGGTTCTTGCGTCTGACACCCTCTCATTGGTTACATCCCACAGCTGCCTGCCAATCAAACCCGTCCTTGCATCCAGGACGTTACCAGCTCCTGCCCCTCTCCCCCCACCCCCACAGGTGCCTTAAAGGGCCCTCGTCCACCCAAGGTGGGGGGCAGGGGGCCTCACTCTCCGGCCCTGGTTTGGGGGAGAGAGTCGGGGGTGGGGATCAGGAGTTGGGAGGGGCGCTCTAAGAAAAGAGTTTTACCTCTGACAAATGAAAAATAATAATAATAAAAAAAATAAAGACATGTATAGACACATGAGGAATTGATTATCTAGTAAACATGCATTTGAAAAATGCCAGGAGATAATAGCAGAAGCTTTCTACATTTTGGGCAGAAATGGAACCCACTGTATACTGTGTCCATCTTCACTACAGGTGAGAGTTTGGTTCACAGTGTTCTCAGGGGTGTTTTAGTGACTGTAGGGCCTGCCGGAGACCTGGATGAGGTGGTCCCACCCTGGGGGATTCCAAGTGGGGGATTCGGGCACTGGTTAACATTCTCAGAGAGCTACTCCCAGTGCTGTGAAGCAAATGTGCTCAGATACCCAACTTTGTATGCTTTTATGCCTGGAGAGAATTCAGTGCAGCTCTCTTTGCTGTGAGAGAAGTAAGCGGGAGGCTTTACTCAAGTGCCCCAGGCAGGAGGGCTTAGCTTGGACTGAGAACAGGTATAAAACTCAGCTCCACTGGAGATGATGAGAGGCTGAAAATGCCAGTTTAGACTCTTACTCTAGATTGGTGCTATGAATATAAGAGAAATACCACTTTTAGAAATTAAAAAAAAAAAAATTATGCTCTGTAACATCTAACCCTGTCTTCCCAAAATTTACTGGAAAGCTTTCGATTGTGTTCTGCCATGTTGACTCCTTAGTCATACAAAGTTGAATGATGCTTTCATAGCGGAATTGAAGACCTTCTAGCTCTGGAGAAACCAATCCAGCAGTTCATTTTCTGGCCAGTGAGATGCGTACTCATACAGTCTTCCTGTATGCTCAGAGCATCTTGAGATGTGTCATACGGCAGTTTGGCCCACATGGCAGTTGGTTTAAAGAAGGTTGGGAGGGTCACGCACAGGCGGTGTCTTCAGCTGGCAGTGCCCTGGCAGCCCAGTGCGGGGGCTTTAGTTCAGTCCTGCTGTCACTGGCAGAACAGTAGTTTCCTCGGTTCTTGTCCTCTCAAGCGAAGGAATTCAGACAGGAGGCATAGAGCAGTTTTCGGCAGCAAGACTTTTATTAAGCAAAGTGAAAGTATGCTCCTGAGAAAACATGAGAGTAAGCTGTCTGGAAACCAGAAGCAGTCCCACAGTGGGGGTGTGCGTGCGTGCTCAGTCCTGTCTGACTCCTTGCGACCCCGTGGACTGTAGCCCGCCAGGCTCCTCTGTCCATGGGAATTCCCAGGCAAGGATGCTGGAGTGGGTTGCCATGCCCTCCTCCAAGGCATCTTCCCTCCCTAGGGATGGAACCCACATCTTCAGCACTGGCAGGCAGATTCTTGACCACTGCGCCTCCTGAGAAGCCCACGAGGGGTAGGGTTGGGTTTTTAAGCTTAGTGGTCCCTCCCTGTGTCCTGTATCATTTGACTGACAAGTTGATTGACAGCTTTGGGTTATATAACTTGTCCCTTAGTGTGCAGGCCCCAACCCGTAAGCCCCCAAGTGAGATCCAGGGTGGGCAGGGGAGGGAGCAGAAACCGTAATGCTCACGTACTATAATGACAGTGTCATGGACCCGGGGTTGCTGAGTCGCTTCTTAGATCTTGGTGTGCCTACACCAACCTGTTCTGGCCGTCTTATCTTGCTTGGTCCTGACTGGGCTGGAAACTCGAAGGGTGGTCCTTGACCACAGACGGAGGATCTCTGGGCATGTTCTGATTCCCGGTGTCCAGAGTGAGGAGGGAAAGATGACCCCATTCAGGATGGAGGGGCAGGGATCTTCTCACTTCTAACTGCTGACACTTCTCACTACTGACACTGCCACCAGAGAATTTTTTTTTGCCAAGCTGTTTGAAACACCGTTTCATTTTAGAATGACTGCGACACTCTTGGATTTATCTGTGATCATAAATCTTTAGCCTTTATCTGTGAAAGAGTGTCCAGCTGCTTTAAAAGGCACCTGCTGTCATTTATTTCCCCAGAGAATTTTCATTAGTGTATCTTTCAAAGGTCTATAATTTTATTCATTTTCCATGAAGATGCCAGAAGCGTGTTAAAGACTCAAGGCTAGCAAGAGAGAGCACATAGTCAATATGTAGCTCCATCAACTTGACCTTCAGTAGCTTTGCAACAATGGGCTCACGGCATACTGTTGACGTTTATCGGGAGTCAGTGTCCAAGTGTGCCGTTAAATTGAGCTAATCAATTCCTCAAGTGCATGATGAAAATGACCTGACTCGGCAGGGATTCACAGCAGAAGGCTGAGTGTGAATAAGTTAAGTGTGAGCCAATAGAAAGTGAGAGAGAGAGAGATCAATATCGGTTCTATCTGTGGCTCTCAACATTGGCTGCTCATTAAAATCACCTGGAACCTTTAAGGAAGAAAAAGTATCTTGATAACCAGGCAGAACACCAGACAGTTGTATCAGCATCCCTGAGAGGTAGAATGCAAGCGTCAGTAGTTCCTAAAGCTTCCCAGGTCATTATTCCAATGTGCTGCCAAGGTCGTGAACCTCTTCCATAGACTGTGCCTCATTAGAAGGAGACCAAGGATTGCCCCTTGGAACTTCAAGGCTCAGAGCTCCCTCAGAATACTGTACCCAGTTCTAAGGTATTATGATTGAAATGGGCTAATAGAATGCATTTCATTTTTTAAACAAAATTTTGGAAGTATGGGCATTTGGCCTCAAAGAGAAGATTTTGTACGAAGGAGGGTGTCAGCATCTTCTTAGTTGTACCAGAGGACAAAATTTAAACAAAGGAGTGAGTTTCTGAGGAAGCACCTTGTATCTGAGCACAGAGAAGGGTTTCACAGCAAGCGCAGCTTAGCGATGACAGGCTGCCTTCCAAGGCAGTCGGCTCCTCGGCCTTGGGGCTTCTTGAGCTGAGGTTGTCCACTTCCAGAAGGTACTTACTGTTGGACAAAACCCCAGACCTGGCAGGGCATCAGGGTCACTGGGGTTGGTGGGCCAGTGGAGTTTTGAAAACCTACAGATTGTTCCATTGTACTCAGCCCTCCTTTATCAGAACGTTGGGGTGAGATCCAGAAATTTGTACTTTTTCAGTGTTTCTTGAGATGACTGTGACGAATGATTTTTCTGGAATAACTCATGTGCAGTGTTTGAGAAACCAGCGACCCTTTGATTCTTTGGTTTGCGTTTTACTTATAACTCTGTTTCTTCTATAAGCGATGAATGAATATATGGGTGAGTGAGCAAGTGCCAGGCTTCATCTTCTGGAGACTTGCAGTCTCAGGGGAGGGGGCGGACCCTCTCATGGGTCATGTCCAACGAGGCATCACTGGCTAGTTCTGTCTTAGAGGACATGTGGGCCGTTAATGCCTGCACAGAAGAAGCAACCCATGAGCAAATATGTTCAATGAAAAGATGGGATCACATAAAGTTTATTAAGAGAGAAGGTTTGCTTTGGGTTATTGACAGACCACATGTGTGTGTGTTGATATTCTGAGATGGGAGATACGGACAGGCCCAAATGGAGTGGGCTGGCAGTGTCTGCACCCTTCATCACACCAACACCTGAGGTCCACGTCCAGCAGTCAACGGCCTCATTTCCTCACCTATAAGATGAGATGTGGCCTCCACCTCACCAGGCTGTTACACCAACTAAATGAGACAGTGTCTGTAAAAGGCTTGGCATCCTGTCAAGGGAAGGGATGAAAGGCTGACCATTTTTTAATATAAACTTCTCCTATAAATTGAAATCTTAGATTTAGGGAAAAGTTGCCATGAGAATAGTTTTTGCACACTCCTTTTCCAGACCCTTCCGTTGATGTCAGCTTCTTACATCACTGGGCAC